GAGAGAGAGAAAGAAAAAGAAAGAAAGAAAGAAAACCATTTACATATGTATTCTATGTATACACACCAAAAGCCCCCAAATAAACAAAAAACCTAGAATGATCCTCAGGCATATATGAGTTAAAAACAAATTCTGACAGAGTAATGACAATGGAGGTTTTCCCCAACATTTAGAAAAGCTGTTCTCTAATGCAAAGGAAAAATATAACATAATATTAAATGTTCTTTTCTGATAAAAGAAGCAACTACAGAAAGCTTTTGGTCAAAGTAACCAGTGGTATAGACCCCCCAAAAAAGAAAGAAACCCCAACAATTCTCTCAATACTACTTCAAAACAATGAAAATCAAACTTGATTTTCATTAGCATGTAGCTATTTCTTCAACCTAATAAATAAAAAAACCAAGACCCAGATTTTATATGTATATATAAATATAGAAGGTGCCAAAAAAACGTATACACATTTTTTTTTAAAGGACTGTACTTTTTTGGGGGTGGGGGGAATTGGGGAAGGGGAACAGTATTGGGGAAGGGGAACAGCCAAGTTGTTGCCAAGTTGTCCTTCAATCTTAGTTGTGGAGGGCGCAGCTAGCTCAACTCCAAGTCCAGTCGCCATCTGGCCACCCATTGAAGGCTCATGGCCGCTCAGCCCAAGGTGCTGTGTTCAATCTTAGTTGCGCGTGGGCATAGCCCACCATCCCAAGCAGGAGTCGAACCGGAAACCTTGTTGCCAAGAGAACACGCTCTAACAACCCAGCCACCCGGCCGCCCATCAGCAGCTCAGCGGCAGCTCAGCTTGGGAGCAGCTCACTAGCCCATGTGGGAATTGAACCGGCAACCATGTTGTTCAGAGCTCGCACCCTCAACCAACTGAGCCACTCGGCCGGCCCTGTATACACATTTTAAGAAAGGAAAAAACTATTAAAATTGTAGTACTCAATATATACTGATAACAAAAGATGAATACAAGTAATGTGTATACATTTTTTGGCACCCCCAGTATATAGAAAAAGCAATGCAAACAATTATTGGGCTTCTTCTGGACTAGAATGCCAAGTTAGTCTCCCTTCATAAAAAGCAATTACAATTTGAGAGCACTTCATATCTGCCTCTTTTGCCAGCACCAAATCTGCCTCATCTGAGTCTTGCTATTTCATGAGAAACATTAATTCTCCACTGCTGTCTGTGGCATCATTTATTCATTCAGGATTAAGACTGGTGAAATCTCTTGGTTTATCAGCAGCATCTCTTTCTCTTTTCTTCTTTGATTTGCTATCATGAGACTCACTGTCAGGTAAAGATTTTCTTTTTATACCATCTTTTTCTTTACCAGCTTTTTGAGAATGAAGAAATACTTGATTAACTCTGGACAATCAAAATTTTCTTCAGGCTCCCAAGTATTGTCAGCATCTGTGAATCCCATCCACTTTAGAAAATACTCCACCTTGTCATTCACTACGTGACAGTCCCGTACCTTTTCCACTACAAATTCTTCAGGCTCTGCCTCGTCAACTTTTTTACTGTTTCTATTCTTTTTCTTTCCTATTTTTTACAGTGTAGTTTTATTGGAGGTCATTTTCTTTTTTTAAAGATTTTTATTGGGGAATTGGGAGATGGGAACAGTGCTGGGGAATTCGGGAAGGGGAACAGACAAGTTGCTGTCCTTTTGTTCTTCAGTCTAGTGTGGAGGACGTTGCTTCACTGGCCCAAGTTGGCACCATCATTGCGCTCTTCTCAGACAAGGCAGATTAGTCGCCGGCTTCTGGACGGCCGCTCACTGCGGCTGCTGGCCGCTCACGCTGGCTGCTGGCTACCCACTGCAGCAGGGGCTGCAGCCTACGCCGTCGCCGGTGACTCGCAGCAGCCCAGCTCCAGGTTGAGCTGTTGTTCAGCATCTTAGCTGTGGAGGGCAGTGTCACTGTCCCTCATATGTGGGATCCGAACCGGGGCCCTCTGGTGTCCCAAGCCAGCTCTTAACCAACGTGCCACTCGGCCGGCCCTGGAGGTCATTTTTTATTGCCAACATGAAGAGCTATTAGTCACTTTCTCAAAGATGCTCTGGTCCAGCGTCTGCAGCGTCTCTGGTCCAGCATGCCTTCAGCTTGAGCCACATCGGAGGGAGAGGGGCACTTTGGTTTTTTGGTTTGGTTTTTTAACTAAGTAGGCACACAGTACATTAGCATATAGCCATACAATAGGAATTGGGTGTTTCTCTTACACTCTTATGTCTACCTGCCAGCCAGGACCATTGAAGGTTAATGAATATGAAAGGGCTGTGTGACAGCTAAAGCAAATCCCCAACAGTTCCCATCACCATACCCTTAAAGTCATCTCCCAGAGGAGTTCAGTAGAACTGAACTAACTTCTGTCCTTCCCGACACTCATCAGTCTTCCCATCCTCCAGGATATCCAAGGCTTGATGTTTACTAGGTAATACCTTTCACTTTTTCATGTTCCCCAACTCCTGTGAGACCATGAGGGCAAGAATGACTATCCTCACTTTAAAAAGGAGTGACAATGTAAAGTGACTTGCCCAAGGTCATATATAGCTAGGAAGTGGCAGAACTGGGATTGAAATCCAGTGCAATTTTTAGACAAATTCAGGGAATTCAACTTCACTCAGCCAAGAGCAGACTCAGAAAACTGGTTGTTCAAAAAGGTTATATCACAAGGATTGTTAAACAATTTGAAGGAGAGTTTAGAAAAGTTGGGGGATGACAGATCCAGAAATAGTTATCAAAGGCACTCCAGTGTAGGGGACATCCCTCCACTGGGAGAAAAGTCTACCTTGGTCCTTCTCCACCAACTTAAAGCAAGGCTCCCTGATGAATGGAACCTCAAGAAAATGTCTTTATGGGAAACTCATTGGTACCAGTGGTGTAAAGGCAGGAGCAGAACTAGGCTAGGAACCTCCAGATGTGGATGAGGTCTGGACATGCAGGAAAAGGTGTTGGACCAAGATCTGTTGATTTCTTTCACTACTAACAGGGCCAGATGCCTGCTTCACCTGCAGGCTCTAATTTTGCATTTCTGAATTGCGTGGTGTTTGCCATCCTGCTGATGAGCCACTAGTCCTATAAGTACATATGTATGTATGCAGGCCTGTGTGTGCATATTTATTGATCCAATAAAAATTTACTGAGTGCCTTTTGAGTGCCAGGCATCTTGCTAGGTGTTGGGGACATAGCGGGGGGGGGGGAAGACATGCCACTGCATTCATAGAGGTCACCATCTAGCTGTGGAGACAGAAATCAAGCAAAAAGAACTAAATAAAATAACGAAATATGTGCTGTGTGGGAAAGAAATACGGTGCTCTGATCAAGAATAATAGCAGGGGTGATGATGGTGCTAAGAATCTACCAGATACTATTCAGGGAAAGCCTTTCCAAGGTGACATTTAAACTAAAAATAGAAGGATGAGAAGGAACCAACCAAAGGGCCCTCCTCAGCCTGAGGCCAGGTGAGGGGGAACTCTGGAGCAAGGTGCTGGGAGTACCCAGGAAGCATGCTATTCTGCTCCTGTTCTCTCTGCCCCATTCCACCCTCTCAAGGGCCTCCTACCCTCCAGCACCCCGACCTGCCAGTCCCATGCTGGCCCCTCTACGAGAGAGGCAGGAGGTATCTCCTGCCCCCATCTTGAGCTGTTCACAGCTCTTCCCTATCCATCTCTGTCTTCATCCCTTTGCAGATCCCTTGGAACGAGGGGGTTGACTTGTGGTGGCATGAACTCATAAAGGAGGCAGGGGATGAGTGTGAGCCTGAGTGGTGTGATGCTGAGGACCCGCTCTTCATCCTGTACACCAGTGGCTCCACAGGCAAACCCAAGGCAAGTGTGTATGTGTGTGTGTGTGTGTGTGTGTGTGTGTGTGTGTGTGTGTGTGTGTGCACGCGCATGCGCTGTGGAGGGGTGAGAAGGGGGTTTCACAGGAAGCATGTAATGCCATGAAGTTTACTCTACAACACTGAGTTTCAATAATGTCACATTACCTTTTCTGAATCAAATGAAGACATAAATCCTCAATCACTAGATTGTGAGGCCTAGAGTGAGACAATTCAGGTGGGAGCTTTCATGGTGCCCAAAAAAGGTTCAGTGCATGTGGCATACATTGATGTTTCTTGCCCATGCCCACATGGCTTGGTTGAAGGAGAGCTGTCCTGTCAACTCAATGGCAAGGGTGGGCACAGGGATCGCTGCTGGGCTCCTAGACTACAGCTCATAGAGTTCAGTTCCATTAACATGCCACACTTTAACATCTAGTCCCTAGGGCACAATGGAAGCCAGAAATCCTTAAGAAAGTTCTGGCTTCCATTGACTTGAAAGACGTGTCATTCTACCTTCCACTCACCCCACCCCTAAATACTACTCTTCACATGCTTTAGAATAGCCCTCAGTGGGCCTTTGGAAACACAGTTTTAGTCTTTCCTAGGGATGGGATATTGATGGAGTAAGCAAAGAAGATTGTCTTTATTTTCCCCACTCTCACTCTGTTAACGTGTAATTGAGTGTTTGTGCACAAATACACAAGAGACACAATTAGATGTGAGTGTACTAGAAGTGTTCGTGTGTGTGAGAGTGATGTGGGTGGCTCAGAAATTCTATCTGAATGATGGACTGACTATACATGTGTGTGGAGTGAGATGGGGACGTGGAGAAAAGGGGGTGCACGAGAGATGGATGCTGGGAAAGGGGTGCTGGCAGGGCCCGAATCCCCGAGGAGAATCTTCCTCCAGCTCTGCCCAGCCCACATGGGGGGCAATGGGGGTGAGCCCAAGGCCCCAGCCTGAGGCCCTGGTCTTCCCCCAGGGTGTGGTACACACAGTTGGAGGCTACATGCTCTACGTGGCCGCAACCTTCAAGTATGTGTTTGACTTCCACCCGGAGGACGTGTTCTGGTGCACAGCAGACATTGGCTGGATCACTGGCCATTCCTATGTCACCTATGGGCCACTGGCCAACGGCGCCACCAGTGTTTTGGTGAGAAGGGAGCTGGGACCCATGGCTACCTAGTCTACTTAGGGGATGGACAAGATAGTCCTGGGTGACTGACTCCCCTGGTCGAGAGGCAGTGGGACTTACACAGCTCCGAGGGGGTCGTGTAGCCTGACTGGGAGGTTCTCTTGGCTTATCTGGTAAGGGAGTGAAGGCAACGGTCTGTCAGAAAGGGCAAAATACTGAGCCTGAGGGTATGGTAGGGGAGTGGAGGGACTATTGGGAAGGAGCGGGAATGACCAGCCTTCACGGGGTCAGTTTGAGGGGATCCCCACATACCCGGACGTGAGCCGCCTGTGGAGCATCGTGGACAAGTACAAGGTGACCAAGTTCTACACAGCACCCACAGCTATCCGCCTGCTCATGAAGTTTGGAGATGAGCCCGTCACCAAGTGAGACCCCTCCCAAGCTGCTGCCCCATGGGTGTCCCTCCGAGCGGGTGCTGGCCTCTGTGCAGTCTTTTCCATTCCCTCATTCCAACTCCCTGGCCTGGAATAGGGGAGGGAGCAGGAGAAGTCTGTGCGTCTTCCTGCTTCCCAGTGGTACTCAGCGCCTTCCTCTCTCCCCACTCCCCTGCCCAGGCATAGCCGGGCATCCTTAAAGGTGCTAGGAACTGTGGGTGAACCCATCAACCCCGAGGCCTGGCTGTGGTACCACCGGGTGGTGGGTGCCCAGCGCTGCCCCATCGTGGACACCTTCTGGCAGACGGAGACAGTGAGTAAGGGGTTCAGAAGGCTGGGGCTTAGGGACAATGTGGGAAGACTGATTCAAACCCCTGATCTTTGACATCCACAGGGTGGCCATATGCTGACGCCTCTCCCTGGTGCCATACCCATGAAGCCTGGTTCTGCTGTGAGTGAGGCTCTCTTGGCTAGTCCTGATCTAGGCAGGAGTAGAGTCTTGGGGCGCTTGACCTAGGTGGGGGGTGGGGGCTGGACTGAGATGTGGGAGGAATTTGGGGCTCTGCGTCTCCTTGGGAGCAGTAGAGAGTTGAGTCAGAGTTGCCTCATTCCTCTCCTTTATTCCTGTCTCCTGTTTATTTCCAGACCTTCCCGTTCTTTGGTGTAGCTCCTGCAATCCTGAATGAGTCTGGGGAAGAGTTGGAAGGTGAAGCTGAAGGTTATCTGGTGAGGCCCTGGCCCTTGGGGGTCTTTGAGGAGTGGGGGGGAAGGGCCCACCAAAGGGTACCTTACTTTGCTTCAGATTTTGGAACCTCGTCTCTTCTGGTAGCTGGTGACTGAAATTCCATGGTTGAGGGTTTATCCTTTGCAGAGACCCTGGAGGGAATCCTTCCGGGTACTTTGCCTGCCTCTGCTTTTTGGCCCACAGGGCTCTTAAGGGCTCTGCTCAGAGATTCCTGATGTTGTTTTGAGGTCTACAATGACAAACATTGTAGTCTGAAAGGGGGCCTCATAACATAGTGGAAAATCATACAGACTCCAGAGCCTATCTGCCTGGATTCAAATCCTGGCTCTGTCTCTTCTGTGACCTCAGCTAAGTTGCCTAACCCCTCTGATCCTAAATTTTCTTATTTGAAAAATAGGGTTATAATAATACCTTTGTCTTCTGTGGTTGCTGGGTTGATTAAATTAGATAATCCAGGTGAAGGCTTTAGCATAGAACCTAACAGTTAGTGCTCGATAAATGTTAGCCATTGTTGTGATTGTTGTTTTTAGTTGTTGTGTTTTACTTATAGGGAGATCATCAGCCCCCACCCCCCACCCCACTTCACTTTTACTAAGAGCAAGTTAGTAACAAGGGCAGGACTTGAATCCAGGCCTTCTGACTCAGCCTAGAATTCCATCCTTCCATCAACCTGCTGCCACAGGATGTCATAGATTGGGGCAATAGTTACTCAGATGGGTCCCACATTTTATAGGACTGTCTTCATTTGCATCAAACGGGACCTGCTTTCCTGAGGGATTACCCAAAAGGAGGCTCAAATTTACTAAATGCTTATCTCTAACAACATTGTGCTAGGCAGCTTCTACATACTGTCAATGTAATCCTCACCATAACTTTGGGAGGTAGAGATTTTTTTTTTTTTTTTTTTTAGCTGAGCCATCCTGCTACCTGTTGGCAGCTCAGTGGCTGCTCAGCTCGGGCTGGACTCGAACCGCTGTTGCTCAGAGCTCAGACTCTTGAGCGAGCTCTTAACCAACTGAGCCACTCGGCCGGCCCTTGGGAGGTAGAGATTATTTTGTCTGATTTACAGATGAGGATCCTGAAGCTCAGAGAGGTACAGTTATTTACCTGCGGTCACACAGCTAGTAAATGGCACAGTTGGGAGGGATTCCAAGCCTGGATTGTCTATCTCCAAAGCCAGTACTTTGTCCTACTTCTCAGGAATGGCATTCAGGCCATTTCTCCTCAGGTTTGGCAAAGCTGTGACTGTCTTCCAGTGAGACAGTATAGCATGTGACCACGGTGCCTTCCTCACTCCCCAGGTATTCAAGCAGCCCTGGCCAGGGATCATGCGCACAGTCTATGGGAATCACGAACGCTTTGAGAACACCTACTTTAAGAAGTTCCCTGGGTACTACGTGACAGGAGATGGTGAGCCTTGGCTATTCCCTTCCCACACCTCCTCCTACCAAGACATGTATCGTCCCCTTCCATTTTCAGGAAGAGTTGGCTAGAGTGAAGCAGGGGAGGGGAAGGGAGGGGAGGGGAGAGAGAGAGAATGTTCTGTACAGAGACGCATGCTTGAAATACCCGAGGAACAGACTGAAGCCTGTGTGGCCAGTGTAGTGAGCAAAGGGAAGAATGTTATGTGAAGCTGGAGAGGTAGCGAATACAGGGCCTTGCGGGCCATGGTGAAGAGCTAGGATTTTATCCAATGGACAGTGGGAGACTTTTAGGGGTTTTGAGCAGAGAAATGGTGAGAACTGATTTACTGTTTAGAAAATAACTGCCTAATTTATGGAGAATAGACTGTATGAGTTACATACTGTTGTGGAGCAAATTACCTCCAAACTTGGCAGCTTAAAACAACAACTATTATATTATCTCATACCATTTTGGAGGATCAAGAACACAGAGCAGCTTAGCTGGTGGTTCTCATTCAGACTCTTGTGGGTTACAATCAAGCTGTTGGTCGGGGCTGCAGCCATCTGAAGGTTTGGCTAAGCCTGGGGAACCCACTTCCAAGCTCACTCATGTGGCCGTTGGCAGGAAGCCTCAGTTCCCTGCCACTTGGGCCGCTGCCTCATGATATGGCAGCTGGCTTCCCCCAGAGCAAATCATCTGTGAGAATGCAACCAAATGCAACTAAGATAGAAGCCGGTGTCTTTATAATCTAATCTTAGAAGTGACATCACATCACTTCTGCCAAATTATATTGATCGCACAGACTAACCCCAGTACAATGAGAAAGAGGACTACACGGGTATGAATAACAGGAGGTGGAGATGAGTGTGGCCATTTTGGAGCCTGGCCACCACAGTGGGCAAGGGTAGAAGCAGGAAGACTTGTTAGGAAGCTATGGCAGCGAGGGTGGCGGTTTAGTCACGTGGATCTCATATCCTACTGTGGGGTAGTTATTACGCTGCGCATTTCTGCTCCTCCCAGGCTGCCGGCGGGACCAGGATGGCTATTACTGGATCACTGGCAGGATTGATGACATGCTGAATGTATCTGGTGAGAGACAGGGACCATTTTCACTTCTCATTAGCCCTGCTCTTCCAGCAACTCCCAGCGAAAGCCTTCTGAGAGCCAGGGTGTCCTCTGGCCAGATGAGTTTGGTCTGAGGCAGTCAGTTCTGGGGTCAGGTTTCGGAGTATGCTAAACACTGGAATATGCCTTGAGGAGGGGAACGGGGAAGGCGAGGCGCTGAAGCATGTCACGTCATGTGAGGAATGAATGAAGGGCCTTTCCGATTTTACCAGCCAGGACTGCCCTCTAGGCACAGATGGGGGGGGGGGGGGGGGTAGAGGCTGGATCTCTTATGGCACTTCCTTTCCCTTGACAAGGACACCTGCTGAGCACGGCCGAGGTGGAGTCAGCACTAGTGGAGCATCAGGCTGTCGCCGAGGCAGCTGTGGTCAGCCACCCTCATCCTGTGAAGGGCGAATGTCTCTACTGCTTTGTCACCCTGTGTGATGGCTACACCTTCAGCCCTACCCTCACCATGGAGCTCAAGAAGCAGAGTGAGGAGCTTCCCTGGGCAAGGACTGCAGGGCTTGTCCTGAGGGCCCAGTGAGCACAGCAGATTTGGGGGGAGGAGCTGGAGCCAGCGGCACCCCAAACCACAAAGACCCCAGGGGGCCTTAGGGACTGATAGCCCTCTTCCCACCCAGACTCCACTACTCTCTCCACTAGGATAATAATGGCATTTATAGAATTTTCTCTGTGCTACCACGGGGTTAAGTGCTTTAAATGCATATAATCACCCCATGAAATAGATCCCATTGTTACTCTCATTCTAAAGATGAAGAAATCAAGGCTAAGAGAAGTTAAATTACTTGCCCAAGGCCACACTGCTAGTAAAACGGGATTTCAACTCCAGCAGGCTGATTCTAGAGCCTGAGTTCATGAAGATGGATTAAGATAAATGAGATAGTAAAGAGACAACTGTTAGAAAGAGAGACAGACAGGCAGTGAGCCTGGGACTGACCCTGTGGGCAAGGCCTTGAAGAGGAAGTAGGCAGGGAACAAAGTCATCTCTATCTCAGTTTTGGAGAGCCTTGGCAGGGGACTGAAGGAATGCTTAATGATTTGTTGGTTACAGTTAGAGAAAAGATTGGCCCCATTGCGACCCCGGATTACATCCAGAATGCACCTGGCTTGCCTAAAACCCGCTCAGGTATGTTCAGAGGCTTGAGGGATTGGGATTGGGATTGGCTGAGGCCCGGTGGTGGCAGAGTGTGTGTGGATGGAAGCCTTTGGCAGGGCTGGAGTGGGTCGGTGCTGTCACCAGGTAACCAGAAGCCTGTGGTTCCGCAGGGAAAATCATGAGGCGGGTGCTTCGGAAGATCGCTCAGAATGACCACGACCTGGGGGACATATCTACTGTTGCTGACCCATCCGTCATCAGCCAGCTCTTCAGCGACCGCTGCATGACCATCCAGTGAATGAGACTCTGCCCTTTACCCAGTATTCCCCCTGCTTGGCTTCCCAAAGTTTTGCCCACCCTCCCTGCCCCCATCCAGGAGTGCTGAGGGCCAGGGATGACCCAAACACCACCTCCCGCAATCGGCTGTCTGGAACGCAGGACCAGCTTCGCCCCTGGGTGGAGGCAACTTTCTGTGACTGCCAGGCAGATGGGACTGGGCCCAGGTCAGCCTCAGGTTGCTGTGCCTGCAAAGAGCCATTGCAGCCCAGATCAGGGACCTAAAGGTCAAGTCCCCAACCCAAGTTAAGTGTTCAGAGGGCAAGGCCTAGACTGAAGCAGGGAGGCAGCTCTGTAATCCTTTGTCAACTCTCTCAGGAAGCACCAGTACTTATCTTGGGCATGCACTTGCCCTGAGAAACGCCTGTTAGTGAGTCCTGGAACAAAAGATTATTATTTTTATAAACATTTGCTGCTTCTGTTCTGGGTCTTTTGTGCCAGATGGCAGTGCTTGTCTGCCGATTTGCTCCAGGGGATGTACAGGCAGGCTGGTTCCAGACGGTTTGCAGATCATTTGCTTCTTTGCAGGAGTAAATGTGTTTTGTTCCTAGGGCCAGAGGACCTTGTCTTCCTTGTTCTCTGTTTCCAACCTCCTCTGAACAGAGTCCTGCCCATGAGAGTCCCTCTCAGATGAAACTCTCTTTTCTTGCCCTGGTTGTGCTCAAGCCCTGTGGTTGTAGGAATAAAGTCTATGACCTCAAGAAGGCGGTGACTTGTTTTCTTAGGTATCTTGCTAGCTGCTGTGATTTGTGTGGGGATGGGAAGGCAAGTGGTTTTCACCAGGAATACGGCAATATCCTCCTCCAAAACTTCTGGTTTGGGCAGACAACGCAGGGCTTCACTCAGAGGCCCTGTGGCAAGCTCCTGCGCTAAGCAGGAAAGCAACTGAAGCCAGTTTACAACCGTGATGTCCCATCAAGTTGCCCTCCTCCTGTGCTCCCGCCAGGAACCCTCTCTCCTCCCTATGATCTCTCCTGAGCATAATGAGTGATGCAAGACTAGACTTCAGGGCCCTATTCACAGGGTCTAGAGCTAGGGAAGCTCTGATTAGAGCCAAGTCACTTCCCCTGCTCCAAGCCACTTCAAGTGGGCTGACCCGGATTATAGCTCCTCCTCCCCTAAGTGCACAAACCCAGGAATCCCAGAATCAGAAATATAGTTTTATTTAAGGCAGAGGTGGAGAAAGGCTATGCCCTTCCACCCCCCTGCTCCTCTTCTTCCTCCTCAGTCCAAGGCAGGCACTGGGACCTGCTGAAAAGGCTAACGAGGGACTCACTCTAAGGAGGGTGACAGGGTTTGACCCTTACCTGGGACAAGCTTCCTTTCCGCTGTACCCATTCTCAGGATTTAGGAGATTCTACATCTCACCTAAGGGAAACAGCTTTTCTGGTCCTCGAATGGGAGGTACCCAGGATTCAAACTGTGAAGACCCTGGAGTTTTCTAGAAGAGACCAGTCCTCCCTAGGTTGGGGGAGAGAAGCCCCTCTCAGGACTCAAGAGGAATAACAAGTACGAGGGATAGAAGGTCTCTTGCGCGAAGTCTGGGCGGGCCTGGATGTGCCCTCACACAGGGTATGGGTTGTCTAGAACGGCCACTCCTGCGGCCACGCCACCATCTGCATGCTCGATGGCTTTGGTTCGAAGCAGATGTCCCACGTGTTTATTCATCACAAATGTCTTTCCCTGCCTGTAGAAATGGGGGCAGGAGACACACAACTCTGTCACCTGGACTCCGCACCCAAACCCAGGACCTTCCCTGGTCCCAGCTGACTGAGTGACTGACTACACCCAAGAAAAGTGCTAGGATTTTAAAATCAAATTTGGGGTTGCATCCTAGCTTGGAAATTATCAGCTCTGTGTCTTTAAGCAAGTTACTCAGGCTTCCCAAATATCAATCTCCTCAGTTTAAAACAGGGATAATACCTCTCACTTTGCAAGATGGTCACGAGGATGAAATAAAGCAGGGAAAGCACTCAGCATGATGCTAGGTTCACATTTCATGTTCTGTAGTTGTACATTTCCTTCTCTACCTCTCTCTAAGACGGCTGTGGTGGTGGGAGGGGTTGGGGTGTGGGGAGTGGCTAGAGGGGAAGATTACAAAGGGCAGGTGCTGGAGGGGAGCACGGTAGAATCTGGTATTTCTACCTTGCTCTGACCCTGGAGTATTTTGCAGGAAGTGGTATGAGGGACTAGGAACTGCTCCTTACAAATTCCCAAGTCTTCCTCTCTTCCTGATTCTTTAGTGCTCAAATCCAAACCCAGAGGCCACTCAGCTTTTCACAGCCACTGAGTATATCCTCTAGCTGGCCCATCCCACCTTTCCGCAGAATCCTATGGCCTGGGAACTGGACCCAAACTCTCTTCTTCCCTGCTAGTCCAGAGTTATATTCTCATCCATCTTGATACTACTTGAAGTTTCCCTTACAGCTGCAAAACATTTCTCATCGGGGCTTAATTTGATAGCCCTGTGAGGTGGGCTAGTCTTGGGTCCTCGGCTTCATTTCCTAGATTGGAAAATGCAGCTCGGGATTGGCAGAGCTGGGACTGAAGCCCAGGGTCTCTGCTACCTGTCCAGTGCTTCCCACCAGGCTTTCTTGGCTGGCCCTCTGGCAAGGAGCAGCCCCTCCTGACTGACTCACCTGACATAGACCCCAAAGATGCCTAGCTCTGAGATGCACTGGACCACTCGGGCAGGACTTCCAGGCCGCAGCAGGCAGTTCCCAAAAGGCTCAGGCTCGATCTTCTCCATGAGGATGTAGGAGGCCCTCTCCTCGCTGTCCTTCAGCCGCTCCAGGGCCTGCACCATTTCGTCCCCGTAGAGGTTATTACCTGCAATTTCAGGGTGCCAGTCACCCTCGACCCTCTGCCCACCTTCTCCACCCTGTGCCCCCACTTCTGGGTCTACGTGGGCAAGTCAGCAGCCTCGGTTCCTGACACCAGCTAGTGAAGCCAGAGCAGGCCTGGCTCCCAAGGAGGGAATGTCACCTTAACAGAAGAGCCCTCACCCACACAAGTGAACACACCTTCCACCACGCCATCCTGCCCTGGTTCTCCTCCCAGTCCACGGCTGTTCCTTCTCAGCCTCTCCGACTGGCTCCTGCCCCTCCTAAATGTTGAGATTCCCAAGGAACTGGTCCTCCACCTTTGTTCTCTCCTCCACATACAAACTTTTTTCCAGAAAGATCTCTTCCAAGGCTCCATCTATAGCCTATATCCTTGATAACTCCCAAATCTTTAACTCAAGCTTCCTGCTCTAGACTTCACATGAATATCCCATGGGCCCCCCACCAAATAAACTCAACATGTCCAAACAGAATTCATCACTTCTGCCTGAACCTGCCCTCCTGGACCTCCCTGCTCCCCATCAGGAGAAAGGTATCCCTGAGTCATGTTTACTCCCTCTCCTTTACCTCACCCACTCAGACACGTCCCTTCAGTCTGTACTCCACATCGTCGTAGCCCTAGCCCAGGCCTCTATGCTGCGCTTCTGGACGACTATCCCAGCCTCCTCTGGTCTTTCTGCTGCTAATGTCTCCCTTCGTCCCAGGACATGCTCTGCCATGGCTAAACATGGATCCTGGATCAGGAGGGTGTCCCTTCCCTCCCTAAAACTCTCTAATGACTTCCCACTACCTTTAGGATTATCCTTTATAATCAGGTCCCAAACCATCTTTTCCAGCCCCAATCCCTGCCTGCTCCCATCTCACACTACTCCAGCCTCGCCAGTAACTCATTCATCTCATGGGCCAGTGCCTTTGCATAAGGTTGCTCCTTCTGCATGGAATGCTCTTCTCCCTTTCCACCTGGGAAACTCCTACCTATCTCTTAAGAACAAGACCAAAAACCATCTCCTCTGGGTCTGTGAGGCAGAAATGATCCCTGACCTCAAGGAGTTCAAACGAGGCAGGAAGACATCCAGCATCCCGACACGTCTCCATCCCACTTCCCCACAATCCACCCACAGGCACCTCAGACTAAACTTGTCCAACCCCCAAGGGCTGGTTAATCAGACTCCCTTTTCACTGAGCAGCCCTGTAAATGAAATCCACCTACCTCCACCTTCTCTCTGGGGCTTTAGCACGAACCGACTAGGAGTAGCAAGGGCCTCAGTGATGGCCTGGTCCCCTTCCTCACCCTGGCAGGACGCAAGAAAGCAATCACCAGCAGTCTTAGGCCCAAGAGGCAGAAGCTAAGGTCCTGCTGGTTGTGCAGAGCAGGAGGGGAGACAGCCATAAGCTCCTTCAGGCTGGACGGCTACTATCTGGATGTGACCCCCCCAAAACCCAGAAGCAGCAAGGAGAACAAGCTTTCTCTGGCAACAGTTCAGGGGTCTGCAGCAGGAGGTCTGAAAGCAGGTACAGATATTTCCTAACTCTTGATGTCTGCCTCAGCCTCCTCCTCTGGTTACCATCCCCATCTCCACCTTTGCTGAGAGTTTATCGTGGATCCCAGCTGCCCTCTCCAGGACACGAGAGCTTCTCACAGAGCATCACTGACTCAAGCCCAGCCCAGGGCCAGCTCCAGCCTCCCCAACACATTGGGCTCTGGGAGGCCTGTGGTGGGAGAAACGGGCTGCCCACGTACCATGTCCAGTGAGTAGAGGCCAGCAAAGGTGGCCTGGAGGCGGGCCGTGGCCTCCGGCTGGCCAGGGAGCAACGCCTCCAGCACGCCCGCCCTGCTCAGCTCTTGCTGCACCTTCTTAGTGCCAGCCAGCTGGGTGGCAATGTCTGGGCACTTGACAGCACATGACCTCTCCAGCAACAGGCGTGCTTCCCAGTTCTGCAGCGAGAAAACAAAAAGGAATTCTGCTTGATCTCACTTTGGCTGACATTTCCTGGGCATTCTGGTGCCAGATATTATGCTTTCTAGCCTCACGTTCATGATCTCCCAGGTCACTGCCACGTCCTTGTGAGGCAGGTGTGGCCTCTGCCAAGCTGCAGGATTCTCGCCCACAGGGAGCTCACAGTCTAGCCCAAGGATACATGGTGATAATGAAAGGGAAAAGGACAAAAGGTGTAAGGGTGTAGAAAAACTGATGAGGAGGTCTGAAAGGGGTGGGACACTTGTTTATGAGCTCAGCTTCCCACTGTACTCCAAATAAAATCCAAATTCTTTCCTTCTCAAACTCATTCTATGCCATCCCTCTACCCCACTCCCACATTCCAGCCACACAGGCCTGTCAAGGCCTCCAACACACGAACATCACTCCCGCCTACAGGCCTCTGCATTTGCTGCTTTTTCCTCTGTCTGTAATTCTTTTCCTTTTGGCTTTTCCAAAGGATGGTTGGATCCTTCTCATCCTTAAGTCTTGCCTCAAAGTTGTCTTCTCAAACCCCCCTACTTAATGTGGGTTTCCCTTTAATTCTCTCTTTTCATCCTGTTATTTCATTCAAAGAGTTTCCCCCGGGCCGGCCGAGTGGCTCAGTTAGTTAAGAGCGCACTTAAGAATCCGAGCTCTGAGCAACAGGGTCGCCGGTTCGATTCCCAGCCCGACCTGAGCTGCCAACAGGTAGCAGGTTGGCCCAGTTAAAAAAAAAAAAAGAGTTTCCCCCAACTAGGAAAAACACCACTTTTTTCCTATTTTTATTTACATTCTGACGTCCATCTTCCCGAGCAGACTGTGAGCTCCACAAGGGCTAGGCCCTTGTTGCCTGTCTTGTTGCCTGTTGGACCCCCAGTGTCTAACACGGTGCCTGGTACTTTGTAGGCTGTCAATAAATATTGGTCATTGTTGTTTAATGAGGAGAAACCTGAGTGGACAGGTAGAGTCTGACAGGTGAGACTCAATAAGGAAGAGGTGCAATAAGTCCTCGTGTAATGTTGTCAATAAGAGTCTTGGAAACTGCAACTTGAAGCAAAACAACATATAACAAAATTGATTTCACCATAGGCTAACGGATAGAAACAAGAGTTAAGTTCCTACGGCATATTTCTGGTCACAAAAACATCACCAAACGTCTAAATAAAGACCCAAAACACTTCAATATTAAACACTGAAATAAATGTGAGCTATACTTATATTAAGAAAGATCAATAAACACAAGTAAGATCATTATTTTCCAACCCACTTGGTCCAGTCCAGGGTGGCAGGAGCCAATGCCAGCAGTTCAGGGCTCCAGGTGGGAACCAACTCTGGACAAGACGCCCTTCCATTGCAGGGAAAACCCCACACACACCCACACTCACTCAGACTGGGACAGTTCATCTAATGTTCACATCTTTGGGAGGCAGGAGGAAACCCATGCAGACATGGGGAGAACACGCAAACTCCACACAGACAGTGGCCCCGGCTGGGGATTGAAATTTTTTTCTCATCGTTATAATGAAACAAGGTTATTTGAGGACCTGCTGTACTCAAGATTAACAGATGATACGAGCAAAAGGCCTATAGGTGGGTAATCATGAAGCAGGGCCTGGTTGGCACCCCCACAGTAGAGGACTCTCCGTGTCCCTGGCCTCACCTTTACCTGACCTACTTAGAGCTTAACCCCCTGTGGCTTGCTTGAGCTGGGAATGTCCCCTGTCCCACCCAGTTCCCTATTTTAGAAAATTACCCCAAAACTTATGATTAATACCCTTAGGCTTATTGATCACAATCTCTATGGTCGAGCATTCTTTCCAGGCTACTGCCATTATTGTTCCTGGGTTGCTGACTCCACCAGAGAACCACGTGGCCACAGGCAAGGCTCCATGCAGAACCCCAGAACCGTCATGTAGCCTCTGGAGGAATGCCCAGGTTTCCCCTTAAAAACCCCAAGCTGGTCTGAGAATATAAAGGCAGTTTTTGGAGGTGTTAACCCGCTGCCTTCTCAGACCGCCGGTGCTCTTATAATAAATGCTTATTCTGTGACCCAACTCCTGTGTCGGTCTTTTGGCTGAGCGTTGCAGGCAGCATGAGCCCTTGGCCTCCAGTTTTAATCACTGGGTGAAAGGTCCAGGGTGCTAGGAGCTTAGGGTGTAAGAGGCAGGGAAACAGCAGGGGGTCATGACTCCCAGCTCTCCTTCCCATTCTCAGGCACTGAGGGAACAGTCTGTGCTTGACTCCAGACCACATCAAACTGCCCACAGAAGGGTCAAGGCTATGGTCTGAGGAACAACGCCTCCCCCCACACACACACCCCTTCCCAGCCTGCCCCCACCCTTGCCCATGCTGTCCTTCCTGTGATACGGTGAGTCCACCTGCAGTGCCTTTGGCTGGTCCTCACCAGTAGCCCCAGCACCTAACCACTAGGCTGCTATTCCAGATAGAACTACAGGTGCCCAGAACATCAGTAAACCCAGGGAAGTACCATTAGTTAGAAGCAGGGAAAGCAAAACTCAGAGATGCTCAGGGGCTGGCCCAGCCTCACCTAGCAAGTCACTAACTAAGCCTTGCAGACTTCCCTCCATGTTCTAAACCTGGTCTGAGCTTCTCAGTTCCCTAAAAATGTCCTCCTTATACACTAATTTCCTTCCTTATTAGCTCAACCTCTTTTCTCTTTAAAGTTTTCTTTGGCTCCTTCCCCCAAACACCCTGTCTTGGAACCTGGATCCATTTTCCAAATGGACAGTTTCTCTCTTCTCTGATCAGTGAGTTCCCACCGCTGCTAACACTTCCTAGAGGAAAGGGTCTTCTGTAGAGCTGCTCCCTATACAGGTGGGCCTTAGGGAGAATCCTATATTCAAAGAGATAGATCTTGAAGCAGGTTCCCTCCATTTTCTAGTGCAGCTCCCTCAGCTTACAGAAACTGAGCCCAGAATGGGTCAGGAAACTACCCGTGAGCTCCCAAAAGCAGAGCCAAAGGCTCATGACCCCAGCCTACTACTCATGGTATTTCCTAACTTATTTCCTCCTTTATCTTTTCCCAGCTGAAATCAGGGCTTCTTAGCCTCTCCATGCTGTAGATTAGGGATGGGGGAGAAGAATGATATACTCGGAATACCACTGGACTGAGAGTCAGAAAGCCTGGGGACTCCCTGTGGGACCTTAGACAAGCCCCTGTATCTTTCTAAACTTTAGTTTCTTCATCTGTACAGTGGGGATAATTTTATGCCTCATAGGGTGATGGTAAGGATTAAATGAAATCATGGCTATGGAAAGTAATTTTGAAACTACAGGGTAGGATAGCAAGATAAGGTGATAGAAATCACTGTCATGAACAAGAATGTGCAGGTGATAAAAACTTCTCTGATGCAGATAAAAGTTGCATCAGAGGTAAGAGTTAGCAGGAAACAAATGGTTAGTGGAGTGGTAGAACTGGTTTGCATCAGCTAGTGAGAGCTGATTGTACCCATCTCTTCCCAACTCTGTTTAGAGACGTTAAGTTGGGTAGCTTGACACTGCTCATGATGCGTATTTACACTAATGAAATCAATCAGCAAATGCTACAAATTGGGACTTTCCCTCCAGGAAGATGATAGTTAAACATTTACCAGCAAATCCCCAGAAACAATGTGAATGGCTGAAGCTTCGCGGATTCCTGAGGATTCAGATTCTAGAAGACAGTGTGTTTGTAGAGTCAGAGGTAGCAAAAAGCTTACAGGATAGGAGGTTCCAGCAGCAAGTTCTGTGAGGAAGCACTGAAGCCAGAGCTCAGGGAAAAACCCCACTTGTTGTGATGTCTGAGTTGGGTCTCAGAGGAGCAATAGGGGTCCCAGGAGGCAAAGAATGATCAAACAGAAAAATACCAACCTGCAGACTGTATTGACTCGGCATGTAGCCATCCCGGAAATAAACCACAGCAATTTCCTGGCCGTCCCTAGAACACAGGGTGGAGAAAGCTGCTATGTTAAATTATAACTGACATGTTCAGTGGTTCGATCTGTTTCAGGGTGCATCAGGGTGCACCAAAATGAGTTTGGCTTCTGTGAAAGTCCACAGGGGTAGCCTGGACAGGGGTTTACTGGAACCAGTGAAAGTACACACCCACACCACCACTCCTTCCACTAAAAACATGGGGGTGTGCAGTAAAGAATGCCTTGGAATATTCCAGATTCAGAGTCATTCCAGGAAGGCCAGAGGGAAACAAGAAGATAACTAGAATCAGATTAGGTAAATTAAAAAAAAATGTGGCTCAAAATTACTGAGTAGCAAAATCACATTTACACTGCTTAAAGCAGCTGAAACCAGGCTGAGATTTTTTTAATATGGCAGGGCTGACGGTGGGCAGATGTAAAATTATGAGTCTAATTAAGGCACAGGCTGTCTTTCGAACTTCTTCCCTTTTTCTTTGATTTATTTGATATTTTCTGGTTTATCTGGAAAGTAAATTAATGACTGTTTTGTTATGCTAAAAGCACCTTTTGAAAATAGTAAATGGGATTTGGGAAATTCCATGGAGTTTGTATTTATTTATGTATTCATTCATTCATTCATTTATTTTTTATTGGGGAACAGTGTGTTTTTTCCAGGACCCATCAGCTCCAAGTCAAGTAGTTGTTTCAATCTAGTTGTGGAGGGCGCAGCTTATTGGCCCATGTGGGGATCGAATCGACAACCTTGGTTTTACGAGCACTGCGCTCTAACCACCTGAGCTAACAGGCCGCCCCTCAGTTCTTAATTTTAAGCATCACAAAGCTCCAGGTCTAAATATGTGTAGGGCAAGCAGTGCTATCCGAATCTGTTGTACGAGAGTCACCTGGTGGGGACCCTTAGAGGGAAGTACAGAGCCTGGCTTGGAGCACAAATCCAGGCCCCTGGAAGTCTGGCCTGGGCTCAGAGAACAAGACCCAGATCAGTCACAGAATGCGCCAGCTACTCCTCTTCCTCCCTGACGGCCCAGCCCAACTGCCCAGGCCTGACCTGATTAGCCACCAAGAGGGGAAAGAAAACTTTTGGGAACCCAGAGGCATATGAAAACCAAGACTATTTTAAGAAGGCCCGTATCCAGAGCGTCAGCAGCTCCGATACAACCCTTTAGAAGCAGGACTTGGCTAGCCTTCTCCAAAACTTCCTAGAATGATGGGAGTTCACCCCTAAAATTCAGAGAGGAGGAAGCAAGCGATCACGTCTCCCAGAAGAAAAGATTGTTTGGGGGAAGTAGGTGGCAGGATGAGTTTCCAAAGCCAGCCATCTGTTGGATCCTTGGGGAATGCTCCCTGAGCACTTACATAAACAGCTTTCTGTTTTGGTCCAGAGATCCCCTTGCAGAAACATCTTCAAACCTTCGCCGGATTACATGGATGTTCCTGGGAGAGATGGGCAAGGGTCAGAGGGCATGAAGGCTCCATTTGCAGTGGTTCTCCCCAATCCCGGGGCCACATGTGGAGGGCTCCCCTCCTTTGCTTACCTGGCCAGTAGCTCGTTCTCTATGGCGCGCTGGTCAAATACGTTCCTTTCCTTCTCCTGAGCAATCAGTAGCACGAGGGCGCTGGAGAAAGAGCACAGGGGGCCCAAGGTGGCTGCAAAGCTAATCCTCCCTCCGTCCCACCCGCTTCAGGGGTGAGAACGAGAACACAGCTTCCTTGAAAGAAGAGATGTTCTCTCAACTCAGGGCAGTCTCAGGCATAGACACCTGAGGCCATAGCACATTATTTCCTGAAAATAGGAAACCTGAAAAATTAAAGATGTCTCTACCCCTTCTCTAGTAGGTAGATGAAATACTGCAATGATGTCAAATTTCTGTGCAAATTAAAATTGAAATGTAGAATCATCTCAGAAACCCAAGAGGACTTGTTCTTAAAACTTAACATGATTCTAAAATCTTCCTGGAAGAACAAACAGGTGAGAGTACTAAAGCATATTTTGTAAAAGAACAATGCTGGGGGTTGAGGGCTAAAAACCCTAGTACTAGATTGTAAAGCATAAAATAAGAGAGTTTGTGGTTCTTGTATGAAACATTAGACTAGCTCAATGGAATCCTACAGAAACCCCATAGCACCAACTGTACATAAAGCATTGTCTCCTGGGGCTTTCCAACATTTCTGCTACGTACACAATGCCACATTTAATCCCACAGGGATCACTGGGGCTCACCTGGCCTCTTCCTCTCTGCTTAGCCATGTGTTTCTTAAAGAAGTAGGAGCTCCAGGACTCAGGGAAAAGCTAATGCCAGAGAACTGTCTGTTTGGCTACCAACCAAGCTGTTTTCAGATGTCAGAGGCAGATCCAGCTCCCACCAGACTCTCTTAGGGCCAACACTCAGCAGCCCCAAACTCCAGTTTTGCTGTACCTGTGCTGCTCTGTGCCTGTGGCTTCTTGCTGACACTCTGGGATGGCCAGGCTTTGGCTTAGGAGTCTAAGTATGGATTCCTGACCTCCCGTACTTGGCCTCTTATCTGTGTCTCTACGTCTCCCTACCTTAGCAGAACATCTTGGACTACAGTCTGCTTGACTCCTTTCCACTTAGCTGAAATACAGGTCCTAGCAGGTCCCCTCTCCTGGCCTGCCTGAAATCTCTTGAGGTCAGATATGCCCTTAAGCTGAGTCTTGGCTTTGAGTTGGGTTCCTGAGAGACAAGCCATCTTGTTCTGAGAGAGCCCCAAATGGGCTTGCTCTTCACTTTGCAGCCTGATCTGCTCTGCTCATGGGGAGGAAGGTGGCACCTGGCCCAGGCTGGCCCACCTCTAAGTAGAGGCAGAGGAGGGAGGCTGCGACTGGAAGGTCAAGTGGAACTACATGCCCTGTTAATTAAATCAGTCGGCTCCCTGTCAAATAATCAGAGCCAGACTCAGAAAACATATTCTACCTCCTTCTGCTTTCAGTTCTAAGCAGTCTGTTGGGAGCAGGACTAGGAAAGTTGTCGGCCAAGGAAGGGGAAGTGGCAGTAACATGCTGGCTGGGAGTGAGGACTCCTGAGTCCCAATCCGGGCTCTGTCAGTGACTTGTAGTGTCACTTGTCCTTGGGCAAGTCAGTTTCCTTCCTTAGGAACCTAATTTCCCCGTCTAGGAAATGAGGGTGTTAAATAGATCATAGGTCCCAACCTTGTATACCAAGAATCCCCTTTTCTTATCTCATTCCAACCACAGAGGCTGTATTTTGAAAGAGTTTGAATAAATGTCTATATTGAAATCATAATTCATTTCCCAGGCTTTCTTTTTAAAAATTATTACAAAGTTTGAGATAATCAATGCAAATTAATCTGCTCTACAAATGCTTGAGCCTCCATTTTTCAATCTATATTATGGGACCATTCCTCTTAGAGGCAGAACAGTAGAGTAGAGAGAACACATTCAGAGGCAGATAAACATGAATTGTAAACTTCCTAGCTGTGTGACTTTGGGCAAGTTATTCAACCTCTCTGAAGCCCAGTTTGCTCTTCTGTAAAATAAAACTAGTACTCCTTAAATGGTAGTTATTATTATTAATATTAAAAGTACCACATAATGATCCTTGAGTTTTTTAAAGCATTTTTCAAATCTATGATTTCATTTGATTCTCACTACCACCCTTTTAAGTGTTTTCATTACCCTCACTTTACAAATGAAGTAATTGATGCTCAGAGAAAAGAATGGACTTGGCGAAGGTCATGCACTAGGTCAGCAGAAGTGCCTATTTCACTCTCAAAATGAGGAAAGCCAGTCCCAGCTCAGGCTCCCCACAGCTCCTATGTACCAGTGCTGGTTTTGGGCATATGAGTCTTTTTTCTCCATGTTATTTACAGCCTGACTGGAGAAACCCTCTAAAGCATTTGTCTATTAGCAGTTCCCCAGCTGACCCATCTCCTGGTTTCACTCTCTGAAAATATGACCCAGCCAAGAGTTCTGCTTGACAAAATATTCGTCTGATGACTTCTAAATGCTCAGAGTCAGAGGTTTCTTGAGTCTTGGTGAGGCTTAACAAGCCCAGAGAGGCTCTCTTAGAGGTAATAAAATGATTAAGGAGGCAGGTTCTGGAGAGAGGTGGACTCTGGGTTCTACCACCAACTCAACCGCTTGACTTTGAACAATTCACTCCACTTTTCCGAACCTCAGTTTCCTCATCTGTAAAATGGGAGAGGAAGAGTATCTACCTTGCAATGTTTGATAGGAGGATTCAGTGATTAAAGCATTTAGCACAAAGTATGGTACTGGTGAGAGCTCATTAAGGGTTAACTATTAATTAACTAGCAATTAATTAGCAATTACTAGTTAACTAGTATTTAACATTGGAATAACTCTTAGTTCAATGGCCTTTCACTTATCCAGAAATCACTTACTTAGCATCGCCACATGCCTGAAACACAGTTGAGAAATAGGAAGGAAGCAAACAATGCCTCTAAGCAGTTAAAACAGACACCGTAAAATCCCTAAATCAAAGCTTATACATTTATTCACCAAAGAGGCCCTCATATCATTAGACACATCATAACAACCCAGATCATCTGCTTTCCCAAACCACCACAAAGCAGAAAGGAGATAAAGGAATGGGAGCAGAGGATTCCAAATTCAAGCACACTGACAGCAATAAGAAGTAAGAGCTAATGGTAGGGAGACAGACAGAAAAACTATGAAGAAAAAAACCGAGAGCTTGAAGCCTCACAGTTGGGGCCATTAAGTGCAGGCAAACAGCCCCACACCCCTTTCTGACTGCAGGCGGCAGCACCTCTGCAGGACATCAAGAGGCAATCACTGACAGTCATACTGATGACCTCTATCTAGCCAAGAAGAAAAGATTCAATTATAGTCAGCATCTCTTAGTTCAGAAGGAAGCCCAAAACTCCATTAAAATTATTCTAGCACTTAGACGTGTTTACGCTTTTCTATTTCTAGAGAAATTCACTCATTCCCTAATGAGGTCTGCACCCGTGAACACTGACTCTCAAGCAGGATTTTGCTGCCACTTGTCGTCCCCCTTACTTGGCTGAGCCGTACAGCTCCCAGGCTTTGGCGATCCCCAGGGCCAGTCCCTTGCTGGGATTATTGGAGAGAATCTTGGCAGCTTCTTTGGTCTTACTCAGGACATTGAGGACGTGTCTGTTGGAGAAGAGATGTCTGTTCAGTAATCGGATGAACCTGAAAGACCCTTTTGCCTGTGACTCAAGGACACTTACAGGAACATCACTTTGAGAACCAGCTGAGCCTTAAAAGGCATCTTACCATCACACTCCTGTAGGCTCCACCTCAGGCTAGAAAATGCGGGGCTGCCTGAACCCTGGCCCCCCTCATGTACATGCCCAAAAGGGCCCTGAGACCCTTGTTTCCACTCCACACCAGCCTCCCAATGAGCTGGCACCCCTTTCCCTGAGCCCCAGATGCTGTCTGGAACCCTGCTGCAGGCCACCCGGAATGTCAGTGACCTGGGGCATCACTGCTGGATGGAAGTGGATGCTACGAGGGTCCAGCCCTCAGACGGGAAGCTCTGCATCCCTCTCTGCCTTGGATTTGGACCTCCTTTCAGGCCTTCAAACTTATAAGCTCTTTGCTCAGCTCAGGACCCACACAAATACTGTTCTCTCTGCCTAGAATACCAACTTGTCCAATGAGGGGGTAGGACTACATGAACTATGAGGTCCCTTCTCTGACATACTAAGGCCTAACAACCACTGGAAGCCGTGCTATGATGAGGGTGGGGTGTGGGGCACATGAGCCAGGGCCCAGGAAGGCGCAGAGTTGGAGATCCCTGCCCCCATCTGTGACTGTCAGCTCATCAGGCTATCACCCCACTGACACGCCCAGGGCAGCCCAAGGGACCCACCGGTGCACAGCCGGGGTCCGGGAGGCCAGGCCCCCAAAGCTGGCAGAGATGGTGTTGATTTCAATCTGTTTCAGGGCTGAGGAGCCATCTGCATTGCGCTGGAACATGTAGTCTGAGCGATTCAGGCCCAGGAAGACAGTCTGTGGAGAAAACTGAAGGCTAAGGACATTTGCCTGGAGGCTGACTGGGGGCCCAGCCATGGAGCAGACAGGAACCCAGCAGGCTACGGAGAGATTAGAGGTGCTGGCTAACACTCCCAGACACAGTGGAACCACTGCTTTGGTCATTCCATGATTGGCCACTGATGTACACCCAGGGACCAATAAGAGGCAGATTCTCATGAGCTCAGGGCCTGGGCCAAATTCTTCTGGTGAGAGAGAGAGAGAGAGAGAGAGAGAGAGAGAGAGACAGAGAGAGAGAGAGACAGAGACAGAGAGAGACAGAGAGACAGAGAGAGACAGAGAGAGACAGAGACAGAGAGACAGAGACAGAGAGACAGAGACAGAGACAGAGAGACAGAGACAGAGAGAGGGAGACAGAGAGAGGGAGACAGAGAGAGGGAGACAGAGAGAGAGACAGAGGTTGGGAGGGGAAGGTTGTAGACTGGGGCGGAATTGGGAATGGTACCTGGGCAATGCCCTCTTTCAGGACTTGCTTGTGGATGTCAAAGAGACGAGCAGTAAAGTTGTCCCGTTTGATGGTGCTAGCGGAGGAAAAAAACAGAACAATTTCTAGGCTACACGGAACCTTAAAGGTCAAGGAGTCCCAACCCTGTCCATTGGCTCCTGAATCCTCTCTGGGTCTACCAGCCCAAACCTGAACACCCACACCAACTCCATAGAAGGCAAGTGGTTCAGAACCCCGCTTCAGAGCCAGGTGACCTGGGTTCAAATCCCAGCTCTGCCACTCACTACTAGGCAACCGTAAAGAATTATTTCACCCCTCTGTGTCTCGGTTTGCTCAACTGTAAAATGAAAAGGATAATAATTATATAATAATTATATTTATATCACAGAGTTGTGATGAAGAGTAAATGAGATATTACATGAGAATTGAACATAGTGTCTGGTCCCAACAAGAACTCAAAAATGGCAGGTGATATAACCATTCTAGACTTGAATTGCTCTGATGGCTGTAAGCTTTCCGACTGACCTGACATTAACTCTCTGTAGTTTTCCCCACACCCTGGGACCTCCCGGGACAAGTCTTTCCTTCCTCTTCCATGGTGGCCCTCAGAAATTAGGAGACACAGGGCCGGCTGAGTAGCTCAGTTGGTTAAGAACTCGCACAAGAGTGCAAGCTCTGAGCAACAGCGGTTCAATGCCCAGCCCGAGCTGAGTTGCCGCTGAGCTGCCAACAGGTAGCAGGATGGCTCAGCTAAAAAAAATTTAAAATAATTAAAAATAAAATTAGGAGACAGCAGTTGTGCTCTGCGCTCCCCCGGGAGTTTTCTGACTCAAGCTAAATAGCCTATTTTTTCCTTCAATTAGTCTTCATATGATGTGATTTCCTGAAGGAGGCCTCCCATGTCTGGGTCACGTCTCCCACTGTGCTCTCACCGCACTGTGGGTCTCTCCTTTATAGCACTGATCACAGTTGTCATTTTCCATTTTATTGTGTGATCAGAGTTGTCTCCTATTTGACCATAAGCCACATGAGGGTGGAGACAGTGTCGTGCTGGCCCATCACCATGGCCCAGTGTACTGCTGTGACACATGACATGTGGTAGGAGCTCATCCAGGGTGGTTTTCTGGAGCCTCGTGGAGAGGCGCCTACAGGTAACTAACGCCGCACAAGATTCAGGGCAGTCTCTGCATGCCGGCTCAAGCCTGACTCGCAGGCTCACTTTGTTATTGTTATAGGGATCCCACTGAGGCCTGCCCTGAAATTTTTCTGCTCCCCAGCCAGCTCCCTCAGGGGGTTCCCAGCCTTTGGTGAAGAGGAGAGGGACCAGCTGGGCTTCCGCCTCCAGGAAAGAGGCTGAAGAGACACATTTTCCCTCTTCTGAAGAGGTGCTCCCCTTCCATCCAGACTCTAGGGGGCTGTTCTTGCATGTGTGTTCTTTCTTACAAGCTAGGGTTTGTGTGTATTTCAGAGGAGAGGGGAACAGGGAAGGCAAGGGTTGCAGAGACGTGCTGCAGGGAAGGTCTACCTAATGGCATCTTCAGGGTGAAGGTTGTAAATCAGATTGCTCGTATTTCATGGGTATAAAAACCAGGCCCATCCCAAGAAAGACCTGAGGGGAAGGTGGCAGTAGGGTTTGTACATTCGCAACTCACTGAGTCTTTAGCTCCCAAGTCAATGGTTTCCAATCTTCGTACCATTATGATCCCTTGTCATAGTCACCCTCACAGCAATCTGCTCATTTTTAAGAGATTATCTCTAACAAAATTGTTGTTTTCTTTGGAAAAATTAAGCAGACATTCAATTATAGATATGTCTAGTCTCTACATTTATACACACACATATATATGTATATATTTAATTCTAACTATAAAATAAAGAATTTAATTTTAAAGGAAAGAAATTTCCCTTGCCCCAGGGCCTGAAGGGGAAAAAAAGATCAAAGGAAAAGAGACGGGGGTGGTGAGGCGGGGGTGAGCCATTATGGGGGTTCTGTATTCTTGTGCCCTGGGTGTTGCCCAGTCTGCCCCCATCCCGCCCAGAGATGAGAGGCCTTGGGGCAACAAGAAAGGGTCATTGCTTAGGAGAAGAAGTAGGAAATCTGACTTTAAACCAATAACCTCATCTGCCTTCTGTTTTCTCTAAAACTAAGCTGACCTCCTCTAATTCCAAATGGAAATTTCAGTCTTCAAAGTGGGGGTGATGGATCAGAGAATCATGAAATGTCAGTGTTGGAAGGGACCCTAGATTTAGGCTAACCTCCCCATTTTACAAATGAAGAAACTGAGGCCTGGAGAAAGAAAGGGACTTGCTTGAGGCCATGTTATTAAGTAAGTGGTACAACCAGGACTAGAAACCAGCTCTCCTGACTTCTATTATACTATGTTTTGTTTCTCCTGGAGGGTACCTGTCCCCCACCCCACCATATCAGCTGCCAGAGCAACACCTCATGGCTCCCCAGTCTCCCGGCCCCTTGGTTCTAGCAGTTCTTGGCCCCGTAGTGTCCCATCACCCAGTACCTGGAGAGAGTTTGCTCCAGAAAAGCAGCGTTCTGGCTGACAGCATCCACCAGCAGGTTGAAGTCCTGCTGCACAGCATAGGCCTGCTCCAGCAGGGCAGCGGGGACCAGCGAGGGGAAAAGCGTGAATGGGGCATAGCTCACCACCTGGTCAAGGAGAGAGAGTCGGAAGGGCTAGTACACCTGTGAATGGGTTGTCTTCCTGTAAATGTGATCCCATGAAAAGTATGGCCTACATGTACTGAGAACACACAAACTGCAGAAGGGTGGTTGCCTCTGGGAAGGGAGAAAGGAAGGAGAACAGGATGAGGAAGGGGTACAAAGAGAACTTGTACACTCTGTAATATTTTATCTCTTTACATTAAAAAAAAGAAAGATCAAAAGCAAAACGGCAAACAACAACAAAATTACTACACTTTGCAAGGCATTGTTTTAAATGCTTTACATGGATTCATCATTTATCCCCATGAGGAAGATACTATTATTATATATACTTAATTAATAATAAGGGAATTCAGTCTTAGAGAAGTATCATGTTCTAAATCATATAAAGCTCCTTCTTAACTAGCCAGCTGATATCCAAGAGCAGGCCCTTCCCCATGCCAGAAGCTCACACCCCAGTCCCTCGACTTCTAGCTGGGGGACAGGGAGAGTCCTGCTGGTAAGGCTACAGCAGAAGTGAACTCTGGCCCCCAGAGTAGAAGCCAGAGGTGGGGGTTCTACTCTCCCCGCAGTGTTAGAGATGGTGATTCAGGTTGCCAGGCCTCGAGTTCAGCTGCATTCTGAGTACTTTGGACTTTGGCAGAGTATCATCTAGGATACTGTTTCTGGAAGGGGATAATGCACTCTAAGATTCCCGACAACAAATGAACTAGACTTGGGTAAGAGATGATAAGATGACCTGGTGAGTTACATTATGAAGCATTCCTGAGTTTAACCTCTGAGTTGATATCAGTTTGCCATTATGGTTGTATAAGTTTATGGTGTTAGAACTTGACATTTATAGATTTATTTTTAAAATATTATCATTTGGAATAGATACTACAAACACATGACACAAAATTCAAGAGTCAGAAGAATACAGAGTGAAAAGTATGTCTCATTCCCACTCTGGCCCCAATGACGCAGTTCACCTCCCCAGAGGCAAATGGTATATTAGTGTTTCACATATCCTTTTAGACCAGCAGTTCTCAACCTGTGGGTCGCGACCCCTTTGGGGGTTGAACGACCCTTTCACGGGAGTCGCCTAAGACCATCGGAAAACACATATTTTCGATGGTCTTAGGAACCGAGACACCGCTCCTCTACCCGTCTCCATGCTTCAAGACAAAATTTCATTTATTTATAATTAGAAATAAATATTTCACAATATATAATTACATAGTTTTTTGTGATTAATCACCATGCTTTCATTATGTTCAATTTGTAACAATGAAAATACATCCTGCATACCAGATATTTACATTACAATTCATAACAGTAGCAAAATTACAGTTATAGAGTAGCAACGAAAATAATTTTATGGTTGGGGGTCTCACCACACCTGAGGAACTGTATTAAGGGGTCACAGCATTAGGAAGGTTGAGACCCACTGTTTTAGACAAATGTATACGAGGTCTGACAATTAAGTTCGCGAACTCATCCTAGAAAAAGTGCTACATACCTCATTGCTGAATATCACTACAGTCACCTTCAAAGTACTCCCCTTGGGAAGCTATGAACCGAAGCCAGCACCCAGTCTACCCTTCAAAGCAATTTTGAAACTCTTTTTCTGGAATGGCCATCAGAGCTGTTGGCATATTACCCTTGATGTCCTGAAATATCACCAAAATGTTTTCCTTTCAATATTTCCTTTATTTTCGGATAAAGAAAGAAGCATTGGGGGCCAGCTCAGGTGAGTAGGGAGAGTGTTCCAATATAGTTATTTGTTTACTGGCTAAAAACTCCCTCACAGACAGTGCCATGTGAGCTGGTGCATTGTCGTGATGCAGGAGCTCCTTTGGGACCATTTTTGCACACCCCTTTCTCATGTCAAGGTTTTCAGTTAAGATTTTCCTGTTTCTCTGTCGATATTTACTTGGTCTGCTATGCTTTTCACAGTCAGCAGACTATTTTGACGCACAATTCAAAGAATTTTTGCAATGTTTTCATCAGTTCTGCTCGTTATTGGCCTCCGTGGCCTCTCTTCATCAGTGACGCGTTCTCTCCCCTGAAGAACATTTAATCCATTTGTACACTACCATTTTCTTCATGGCATTATCCCCATAAACTTGGACTAACACGTCCCTGATTTCACTTCCACTGTTGTCAAGTTTAACAAGAAATTTAATATTTGTTCGTTGCTCTAATTCAAGCTCAGACATTCTCGTGACGGCACACAAAAACACACAACAATAATGAACGCCACTCAGCAAGACACCGCCACACATCGACACGAACACAGCTGTGAGACACTGATACACCAAGGTAATGAAACCTTACTGAGCTGTTTGTACAGTGCTGCCAGTGCAAGCGTACGGTGGCCAAGTTCGCGAACTTAATTGTCACACCTCATATGTATACATACATACATATGTTCTCTTTTTTTAGACACCAAACGAAGCATACGCATATGATGCGTAAATTGTTCTGTCCTTTGTTTTATGAATACTTCAGAGACATTTCCATATACATTTTAATAGAGCACTTTCATTCTTTCTAATGGCTGTATAGTATTCCACTCTGGGTATATCACAATTTATTGAATTTAGCCTTCTATTATGAACAGTTAGGTGGTTTCCTTTTTTTCCTCCATTACAATCAATGCTTCAGTGACTATCCTAGAATATACATTCTAGGTATTTTGTGCGTGAGAAGGTAAATTTCTAAAAGTGGAAGTGTCAGGTAATTAGGATAAATCCATTTAAAATTTTGGTAGATAAGTCTCAAATTGCCCTCCTCAGCATCTATTTTAAGACAAAACTGAGGAAGTGTATTTGTGAAAGTAAGGGTTTCAGCTTGAAACCTTTTTGAGTTTGAGTCTGAATGACTGCAGATTATGTAAGGCATGACCTAATACTCCAAGTAATATGTGATGACTACAGGGGTGTTTCCTTAGCTTCAAAACGCAGAACCCTGCCTCTTCCAACAAGTCCCATTTGGCCTGAAAAACTCCCCAAAAGTTTTCCTGCTAAGACTTTCCTCTGCCTCTGTCCCCAGAGCTCGTTATGCCTACTAGAATGTGGGATCCTTAGTATACAGCTGTTCTCCTCTGCCCATAGGCGAAAGGCTGCAACAGTCTTCTCACTTTTGATAGAAACACAGACACAGAATAATATTCTTCTGCTATAAGAAAAGCTATAATAGCACGTGCATGACAGTAAACACTGCTTCAGAGTCAGGGGAACAAGAGTTATGGGAAGAAGTCAGAAGAACTCCCATCTTATCTAAGGGGACGGTCGGAACTCTGTTCTAGGCATTTGTTGCCCTGCAGGAAAGTGGGCCAGGGTTGCCCGCTGATCTGATCTTTCAAGACAAGCTGGACGTCTAGATTTTTTTTTTTTTAATTTCATGATAAAAAAAAAAAAAGTGGGTCCTGAGTGCCTAGAATGGCCCAGCATAGAACAGGCACCTGGTAAAGTTCTGGAATGAAATCACAAACCTGCCCACACACACTCTCTCTTCCTGTCTTTTTTTTTCCCCCTGGACCGGAAATCTCATTGAGGACTATGCCTTCTCTACACCCCACTGACTTCCGGAAATACCACAGGTTGGACCTTCATACAATACCTGTTGATGATTAACAGAAGAAATAAAATCTTGGAAAGGAAAATGCTACATCCTGTATTCAGACAAGCCGTTCACAAAATCTAAGGTTCACAAACCAAGCAGTTATATTCCGAAAGCCAGAGGCACACCTTCCCCAGTATCAGCCTACCTTTGGTGACAGCCATTCTCGCTCGCTCAGGCCTCAGCAAACACTTACTGAGTCTGGAGTCTCCACCAGGCCCCTAACTAGGTTCTGGGCCCACAGAGACAAGAGAGAATGTGGTTTGGTAAAAAACGATAGTGGCAGCTCTTTAGTTATTAATCTGGATAGTCGTAAGTATAATGTTAAGTAAAAAATAAATAAATAAAAGCAAAGCCAGAACAGCTTGTCTAGTATGCTTCTTTGTGTAAATAGTAAGAATAAGCTAAATGAAAAATAAACAAGATACCTGTTTCATTTATAAATCACAGGTTACCTTCAAGGCAGGAGAACTGGGCGGCTAGGGAATGTAGAAGGGAGGATTAAACGGAGTAAACTCTTATATCCTTTGGGTTTTGAAGCATGAAAATGTCTCACCTAGTCACGAAATAAAAAGGTTTTGTTTTTTTTAAAGAATGAGAATTTTTTTTTTAAAGGTGTGGTTTTGACTCAGCAGTTCTACTCTTATGTATCAACCATAGAGAAACACTCATATAAATATCAGAACAGGCATGTACGTGGATGTTCCCTGTAGTGCTACTTGTAGTCATAAAACATTGGAAATCACCTAAATAGCCATCGGTAGAAGAAAGTTAAACTGTGATCCATCCATACCTGGAATACTATACAGCAGGGTGAAGCTGACCCTAATGGAGGGAGTTGGGAAGAGTTCTAAGACAGATTATTAAATGAAAGACAAACAAAAACACATCACAGAATAATACGTATGATCCAACTTGTTATTTAAAAACTATATATTTCTTTATATACACAGTAAAACCTTGGATTGCGAGTAACTTGGCTTGCAAGTGTTCTGCAAGATGAGCAAACATTTCTAATACTTTTTTTTTTTTTAAGATTTTTATTGGGGAATTGGGGGGATGGGAACAGTGCTGGGGAATTGGGGGAAGGGGAACAGACAAGTTGCTGTCATTTTGTTCTTCGGTCTAGTTGTGGAGGACGTTGCTTCACTGGCCCAAGTTGGCACCATCATTGCGCTCTTCCCGGGTGAGGCAGATCAGTCGCTGGCTTCTGGACCGCCACTCACAGTGGCTGCTGGCTGCTCACGCTGGCTGCTGGCTACACACGGTAGCCCATGGCAACCCACTGCCACAGGGGCTGCCGCCTACGCCGTCGCCAGCGACTCACAGCAGCCCAGCTCCAGGTTGAGCTGTTGTTCAGCATCTTAGCTGTGGAGGGCAGTGTCACTGGCCCTCATATGTGGGATCCGAACCGGGGCCCTCTGGCGTCCCAAGCCAGTTCTTAACCATCGCACCACTCAGCCAGCCCTCTAATACATTTTAACTTGTTAAACGAGGGATGTCTTGCAATATGAGTAGTTTGTTTCCTGAACGAATTATGCTCGCAAACCAAGGTATTACTGTATATGTATATAAATACATAGAGAAAGACCTGGAAGGGTATACTACAAACCAATTACAGAGAGGTAGCATGGTTAGGGGATCTTAAAAAAATAATAGTTCACTGGGCAACGTGCTTCACATGAATTATCTTCTAATTCTCTTACCAACTTGATGAGGTAGGTCCCATTATTATCCCTTTTTAATATCTAAAGAAACTGCAGCTGAGAGAGGTTAAGTGTGACTTGCCTAAGCCACACTTTAAACCCCAGCCTTAAATTTGATTACTCGAGCATGCCACTTTTTACTTTACATACTTCTCGAGATCAATTTTAGTTATTGAAAAAAATAAAATAAAACAGAAGAGATGTGGTCTCTGACCCAAAGGAGTTGCCTCCAGCCTGGCAGGGGCCAGCCAGATAACAGGCAGTAGATCCCAGGACAGTGTGGTCAGTACTGTGGGGAGGGCTGGGCTTACATCTGAGGAGCTGGGCTCCTGTGAGGTCCTCAGCAACACTCCCTCAGCCAGGGCCCGGTCCACGGCTTGCTGTGCCAGCTCCTCCAGCTGCTGCTCATCCTGCAAGAGGCTTCCCCAGCTGTTGGCCATCCCAACCTGCAACAGAAGGAGAGCGGAGGATGAGGTGACAGATGGCCTGGGGCCCAGCAATCACTGAAACTGGGAGTGTGGTACAGGGGAGTGGCATGAACTCTGGCTGGCAGCTCTTATCAACTTCCCAAACAGAAAGCTTAACAAAGCAATTCCATTGCACTCCCTCTTTTGATTCCTAATACGATGATGGCTATTCTCACAGTAAGGAAGCAGAGGCTCAGAGAGGTGAAATGATTTGCCCAAGCTAATGGCTGGTAAAACTTGGACTTGAGCCAGGTCTCTGGACTCCCAGCTTAATGCTTTTCATTGGAAAAAGAGGCACAAATGTCATATGTGACTGGGTCAAGTTCCTTCCCCTCCCAAGCAGCAGATTCTCTACCTGTGAAACAAGGAGGAGGGGGTAAACCAGTGGTTTCTAAACCTAGCTGAATATTCTGGGGAGCTTGGGAGAGAATACAGATTCCTGGTCCCCACTTAGAGATTCTGATTCAAAAAGTCCGAGGGTAGGGAAGGAGGGGCTGAAACTCTGTCTTTATAACAAGTTTTCCTGGGATGGGAACCACTGCAATAGATTGTTAATTAATAATCTACTACAACCCACGTCAGTAGATTGCAAATAAATTATGTGGGGGTGGGGAAGTGGGAAGGAGCCCTTTGTGAAATACTATGAAGTGCAGATAAAATGGACTCCTCCCTAATACTAACCAGAAGCAACCTTGTAGCAGGAAATGATTACATTCCTTGTAGAGATATCTATCATCACAGCATCAAAAGACAGACGATAGTTTTGAGAAGTCACATTAGCAGGATAGAAATAACTGAAAACCAAGTACCCAGTGTAATAGGAGGAAGAGTCCAACCGGCTGGCCAGAGACACACAGAGGTGAACCAACTCACACCTTGGTACTCAATCACTTTGCAGCAGGCCCTAGGGGTTTAAGATCTAGATAAAAATCTGGAAACACCAGTCATTAATTTTTTTCTGCCCTACTGTTATTTGATTTTTCGCAGCAGAACATGGCTGCCCAGCTCAGCGGTCCCCAGGAAGAGAGCTAGAGAATGACAAGTAATCTCCACCACGTACAGCTCCATTCCCCCTCTCTACCCATGACAGGATTGGTTCTAGACCTATTGTGGAAGTCTGCCAGCCTCAGCACAATGTTTTGAAAGAATGCGCATGTGATTTCAAGAGGGTCCTGACAATACCCCTGTTGGATGAGAGATAGATAAGGGCAGTCAGAGAGAGAACAAAGCTCTGGGGTCAGTCAGACCTGGGTTTGAGTCCATAGTAACACTAATTCCTTTATAAATAAGGTCACTGTATGGATTAAATGAGGCAAGTCTATGTGCAGTTCCTTAGCAGTGTTTGGAGCACTATAGATGGGAGCTTCTTTTTTGGCTGTAGTCACTCTACAGGTGGGAGATTTGTCAGAGGTCACATGGCAGCCTGGTAGCAGGGCCAGGAACTAAAATCTGTGACTGACAGAGCAATGGGACCCTCCCTCCATTAGCCCCCATCTCTCCACAAATGTGGGATTCCAATATCTCTGGCTGCTGTTGGGCTTTTGTTTAGTTGTCAAACAAGGACTGGCATCGAATGCCAGGCCCTTGACAGAGATCAGACATTAAAAAAAAAAAATCACTATGAAAAGTTCTAATTGGGCTCTTTGTTTTTCTCATTCTAGTCTCAGCCATTCTTGTGGCTTGGTTTCTGTTTTGCTGATGACACGCAAATCTACGCCTTTACAGCTTTCCTGACCTTCAAACTAGAATATCCAGCCGCTCAGTGGGAGTCTACACAGAACCAGAGTAGAATTTGTTGTCTCCCCCACAAATCTGATCCTCCTCTGATGAACCCCACGCAGGCACCCAAGCCTTGTATATACTTCTCTCCTACACCCCATTCTCCCCAAATCCTGTGGATTCTATCTGCAGTCCTTTGAATTCCTTGATCTCTCTCCATCCCCACTGTTAGGAGCCTAGCTCCAACTACCATCCTCTCTTCACTGGCCACTAAACAAATTGAGAATGAGCTCTTTTCAGTGATCAGGATACACCAGCCTCCCTCCCGCTTCCAGGTCTCAGCACGTGCTGTTGTCTCTGGAACATTCTCCACCGCTCGGACCCAGCATTCATGACTTAGTCTTAGAAGCTGTACCTGTACCTTCTACAGCCCATGATTTTCCCCTGCACCCTAGGAACTGTGTCTCTCTCGATCATGTCTCTGCTTCCAGCGCCTACTACCATAGTCAATGAATGTTCAATAAAGGAACGTGAATGAATGACACTGGGGCCGGATTACCAGAAAGCCTTACAACGCCCACAAGGAAGCCCGGCTGGACCTCTTCCCGGGGGCGGGGCCAGTGCCTGCGTGGGACCCGAGGCAACAACACGGTCTCCCGCCCGGGCCTGCCCCACTTCACGGGCTTGCTCGCTCCCATCCTGGACAAAGTTTGGTCTTAACCGCTTCCACTTTTTTTTTTTTTTTAAACTCCTGCTCTAGTCTCCCCGGCACCACGTTCCCGACACCCGCCCCATCTGAAGTCAGGAGGTCTGAGAAATCTGAGATCAACCTGCGCAAGCCCAACCCCCTCACTGGATACAAGTTACCCCGTTCCTGCCATTGAGTTTGATCTGCAAGATCTCCTGGTCTCCAGGTTTCCTATCACTAGCCCGTCAGTCGCCTCCCTCACATCCTTCCTCCAGAAGAAACATGACCCTTGCCGGCCGCCGTTGCCGCGCTCCAACTTACTAGGTTGGTCGTGGGCCCGCCACGTTCCGTACTCAGGCCGGTCGCGCCGTTACCCGAGGTTCAGGGTGTGGGCTCACCATGCAAACCAATGCGCTTGCGCGGACCGCCCCCGGGTGGCCTAAAGAATTAGGCGGGGGAGGAGACCCGTGCGCATGGAGCTGAACGGCGGCCGGGAAGGGGCAGTCCCGGTGAGGGCAACCTTGGCATTTAGGGGTGCGTCGCCTGGACCCAGACAGACAGCACCTTGGGAAGGAGGGGAGGAGTCAGGCTTGGTCCGCGGTGAGCTGCGAGTTTGCATAGCTCGCAGAGCGTTAGAGCTAGTGACGTCCAATGTAAGAGAGGGAAACCGATACTCAGAGTGGGACAGTCACCACCTCGGGGACACACAGCTGGTGGTGGTAGGCGTGGTAATAGCGACCCAGACAGGGGCAGAGACCGGCTCAGGGTCCCATAACAGTTAAGGGCTGAGCCCGTGTTGGAACCCAGGCTTGTTTCCCACCCGGCCGGGTCACAGAAAAGCCCTCCTGGTTTCTCTAACCCTGGGACAGAGGCAGGAAAAACATTAGTGGCAAAAGGAACGCATTTTCATTTTTCCAGCAATTTTGAAGTTAGGAACGTTTGAGGGTGACCGAGTATTTCTCAAAATATTCAGTATCACTTGCATCAGGACCTGGGGCAGTTTTTTTTAAGTGCAAATTCCTAAAACCTCCGCTCACCTCACCCCTGTGCCTCTTTCCAATGTTTTAACTGTTATTTCTTTCTGGGCTGTGATAGGATTCTTCTCAACCTGAAGCACCTGGTTGAATTTTAGTTAAACTGAATGTCAGTCCAGACTCTGGGAATTCACCATGACTTAAGACACACACCTTGCTTTCACATCTGGTTAAGAAGGTAGACCCATAAACAGTGCTTTTCTGGGGAATCAGGGAAGGCTTCGAGGTCTTGGAAGGATGGGTAGAAATATGTAGGCAGTGAAGGACGTCGGGGTATAGGTGAGAGGTAGGAATGGGGGCAGTGTGCCAAGTAGCTTGAACAGAAACAGCAAAGGCAAATCTGAGTATGGCTAAGGCTTGTTTTAGAGACAATTAGGAGTTTGCTATAGATACTGAGGAGGGTCTGGGAATTGGAGCGGGCTGTGAGGAGCTGTCTTAGAGAGGGAGCCTGGGAAACCACGTTGAGGAGTTTGGCATTTGTGCAGTGAGCAATGGGGAGCTATTTATGAGTTTTAAGCAGGGGCGAGACATCGTTTGTTTAGTGTGTTAGGTGGTGGTGACAGTGTGTGGCAAATGGTTTGGAAGTGGGGCCACTAAGGCCAGAGGGAGCTCTGAAGGAGTTGTGAGATGATGAGGCAGCAGCTGAAGAGATAGAGAGAAAGGGTCAGATTAAAGGATATTTAGGAGGGAGAACTCCGGCCGATTATAAATCAGTGGCCTAACCCAAGGGCCAGGATGCTTCTAAGTAAGGTCTTAAGTAAAGCATTTACATTCTCTATCTACAAGGCCGACTGAGCCCTCCAAGCTTGTTGGGGGGAGAAAAGGAATGCATTGTCTGGTTATTACCACAACAGTGTTTCCGTGATGTCCTTCGTCTCCTTTTGTACCTGAGGGAGAGGATGAAGCAGCAATTACTATAATAGGCCCCAGGTGGCAGGAAAAGCCCACTGTGTTAACCAGGAACAAAAAAAACTTTCTAGTGCAGCATGAAATTAAAAATTAAAAATCATGACCCAGGGTTTTCTGTGCAGGTTCCCTTCTTCCAAGATGGGTGCCAAATGACATGTATCAGGTGTCTATTGGTGAGATTTGGGGAGGATTCCAGACATTAACAGCCTTTTGGTTGAGTCCCCTCACATTGTGGCAGGTGAGGTATTTTTATTCCCATTTTATAGATGTAGCAGCTGAGCCTCAGAAGTTATGTGACTTGTTCAAGGGGACCCAGTTTGTGGTGGGACTGGGAGTGAGGGGCCTGTGGCCAGGGTTCTTTCCAGTGGGGATTTGCCCTTCCTGCTCCCCCTGCCCTGATGCTGTGCCCCTAAATCTTGCCATGACTGGTTCCTTCTTCTTATTCAGATGTTTCCTCTTCAGATGCCATCCCCACCCCGTCAATCTGTATCACATCCGGTGTATTTTCTTAATAGCACCTGTTAGTATCTGTAATTATTAACTTTATATATCTGGTGTTCCCTCCACAAGAATGTGAGCTCCATGAAAACAGGGACAATATGTCCTGTTCACACCTGGAATGGCACCTGCCACATAGCAGATGCTCAATATTTTCTGACTGATGAACGTAAGCTGGCGAGCAAGGAAAGGAAGGAAACCAACATTAGGTGAAAGCTTAGGATGTTTCTGGTACTTCTCATAAACTACCTCACTTAATCTCCTCACAGCCTTTCAAGGCAGATACAGCAGGCCCTCAAATAACTTCATTTTGTTCAGCATTGTTTTATTGTCATAGGAGCTTAACTTCTTTTTATATGAATTAGCCTGTGCTAAAATTCGTTTCCTTATTGGTTTCAGTTTCGTCATTTTACTTAAAAGTCACACAGCCTATTGACGACATTGAGGACTTACTGTACTGTATCTCCATAGGGTGGATAAGAAAATGTGCTGTTAGGTCAAGTCAGTGTTTTGTTACTTTTGCGGCCATAGACTACTTTAAGCAATCTCCATTAGACACAAATTTTTTGCATACCACACGGAGGAACTCAGTCCCCCTAGGGCACACTTAGGGATCCCAGATCAAGGAACTCAGGATTGGCTGGCCGGGTGGCACAGCTGGTTAGATAGAGTGCAAGCTCTAAGCAACAGGGTCGCCAGTTTGATTCCCACGTGGGCCAGTGAGCTGCACCTGAGCTGAGCTTCCAATGGGCGGCTGGATGGCTCAGCTGGTGAGAACACGTGCTCTTAACAAGGTTGCTGGTTCGACTCTGCAACCCGCCTTCCCCACCCCCTCATTCTGCTGCAACTAGATTGAAAGCTGCAACTAGATTAAAAGCGGCAACTTAAAAAAAAAAACCCAAAAAAACCAAACCCAGGATTAGAGAACTTGGCCAATATCTGTCTGGCCTCAAGACTTGTTGATTCCTCACTCCATGCCAAGGATAGGTTTAGTGGACTACGGGGAGCCTGCTGAAAATTTTGAAACAGATGGGGATTATGATGCATTGAGCCTTTGATGTCTCAGACCTGGGTTCAAATCCTTACTCCACCAACTAGTAGTGTGACTATGGGCAAGGATTCTTAACCTCTCTGAATCTCACTTTCAAAATGGAATCTTTTTTTTTTTTTTTTCCCTAACAGTAAGTAATCTTTATTGGTCCGCTCAGTAAGTGCCAGGTACTTGGCTAATGGCTTAACAGGTATCTCACTTTTCACCACAACACTATGAGGTCAGGACTGTTATCACTTCCATTTTGCAGCTGAGGACTTGGAGGCCAGAAGAGGTGTCCTGACTTGTCAAAGATCACGCAGCTCCCACTGATACACCTTGGGACGTGCCATGAGCTCAGGTTTCCCAAAGCTGACTTGAATCCATTGCATTCTCTGTTCTTGGGGTTTGTGGGAACATGTGAGTCTGAATTAGGTGGAAAAAAACAAGGAGGGCTGCATGGTGGTGTGAATGGAGGCCAATCCCTTAACTTTGTATGTAGCCTTTCCCCTGTGAGAGCTTCACTCCAAGCCTGGGCCTCTTTTTTGGAACATCTTGCCATCCCGGGGTCTGCATTGCACGAGGTCTGCAATGTGCATGTGGCTGGTGTCTTTTTAGCAATGACATCACCCTCCTGGGTATTGTTGTTTAGGAGGCTGTCTCCCCACTTGGCTTGGGGCAGGGGAGGCACTGCTTGGCCATTCCAAGTAGAATTCCTCTGTCTTCCAGCCCCTAGTGCAGGCCTGGCCCAGCAGTGCAGCTCCGGAAATGCCTGTGGAATCAAAGCGAGGACTGTCCCATGTGTTGAGGATTTACTGTATGCCAAGCCTGTCCTGGACACTTTATATGTGTTATCTCATTTACACCCCCGCAGTAATCCTGGGAGGGAGAAATTACTGTCCCTGTTACTGAGAAGAAACAGACTCAGCTGGGCTTTGCCTTAGGCCTGCTTTCGATGATTGATGGCATCAGGACGGACTCCAGGGCCTGTGCTCTCACCACGCATAAGCTCTGACAGCCGTGGGCTGCTAAAGGGGGACAGAGTCCTCAGCCCCCAGGGTGCTCAGAGGCTTTCTACCAACAAGCTTCTAGTTCAGCTCTCTTTTACCCATGAGGAAGCAGAACCACACAAAGGCAAGAGGACTGACTTACAGCCCCTCTTCTCCACTTTACTACTTATCCACTTACTTTTGGGCAGGATGGGGTCCTATTTTACTCACCATTACGCTACCCGGGTAGCCCAGGGCCTGGTCCAGGTCAACACTCAGTAAATACTTATAAATTTTATTTATTATGAAAACATTAAGAAAGACATAAACATTAGTATAACAAACACCCATATACCCCTCACTCGGCTTGCAAAATAAAACTTTGCTAATTAAGCTGAAGGTCCTTCACAACTGCACGCCTGTAGAAATACTCTCCTGAATTTGGAATTATTATTCCTACCGTGTTTCCCCGAAAATAAGACCAGGTCATATATTAATTTTTGCTCCAAAAGATGCATTTTATTCATTTATTCATGTGCAAAAATCTATATTTATTCAATTACAGTCATGTCTGATTGACGATCTTAACTGGGGCTTATTTTAGGGTAGGGCTTGTATTACGAGCACCCTGAAAATCATGCTAGGGCTTATTTTCCGGGTAGGCCTTATTTTAGGGGAAATACGGTATGCATTTTTTTATTGAGATATAATTCATGTACCATAAAATTCAATCTTTTTAAGTATACAATTCAGTGGTTTTTAGTATATTCCCAAGATTGTGCAACCATCACC